CTCAGCACCCCGCCACGATGTGTTTTGCGTCGCTGAGTGTCTGCTTTCATTTCGTGGTTTCGTGTGTTGGCGCTTGCTGATGACACGCGCGAAAGATGTTGGTTTACATGTTATTACACATGTGCGCACATGGCCTTCATGCTTAATTCGGCCCCGTTGCGCCCCACGGCTGCCTGCGAACGCGGTGGGGATCCTCGCCACTGCGGCAGACAACGTGCGTGAAGGTGTTTCCGTTTCGCAGCGCGTTTTGTTTGTCTACGAATCTTGATTTGCATGTTTCCGGCAAGCTGTCGCGGAGCGGGGATGAGAACGCAATTGTTGGAGTTGCGCAGAAGGCCCCAGTGGCAGCGTCCGCTTGGCGGCACCGTTCGCTCGTTCGTGCTAGCTGTTACCCGTAAGGGCTTCGACCCTGCCGCCCGCCCCTTCTCCATCAAAATGGGATATATCAGTGTCGCGTCGGTGCGTCTCGGCGCTACCTTGGCGCATCGGGAAACATCATACGGAGGCGGATATGAATCATCATTGCATATTGAGACGTTGGAGCTCTCCTGGTGGCCGTCGGCGCATCCCGCAACCTTGCCTGAGTTGTGGGTCTGAGACCCCTTGTATACGTGTTGGAGTGCCGTGGGGAGCCCCAGGAGGGCCTCTCGAAGGCGTTTGGGCGCCTCTTGGGGGCCTCTTGGGGCCTCGTGGGCACCGTTTGGGCCTCCTGGAAGCCTCTTCGGCGCGTCTTGGGCGCCTCTTGGGGCCTTTTGGGGCGTCTTGAAGGTCTCGTGGTGCCTCCTGGGGGCTTATGTGTGCACAGAGTTGAATACTCGGTTCGTAGTCCCCGGCTTGGGCCCCTCTTGGGGCCGTCTTGGGGCCCTTTCTTGGGCTGTGTTGAGCGCTTTTTGGGCCATCTTGGAGCCCTCTTGGGCCGTCTTGGGGCCCTCTTGGAGGCGTCTTAGGTTGCCTTGGGGCGGTCTCGGGAGCTTCTTGAGCCGTCCTGGAGCGTCGGAAAGGAAAACAAACAAACAAGAAGGCCAACATCATTCAACAACCTCCGTACACTTTACGATTTTGGCCTTTTGGGGTTCTCTCGGGAGGCCTCTTGGAGCGCTCTTGGGGTCTCTTCGGGCCCTCTTGGGCCGTCTTGGAACCATCTTTGGGCGCCTTGGAGCACTCTTCGGCCTCGGCATTGCGAATATGGCGTAATGTGCGAAGGTATGTGGTTTCGGGGGCGCGAATATTGTGTAGTTTCCTCTTTGGGTTGTCTCGGGGACGCAACAATCGAGTAATTCACGAGGGTTTGTGGCCTCGGGGACGCGAGCATTCTTTCATTTACGAAGAAGTATGGTCTCGGGGGCGCGAATTTTTATATCTATATAGATAGAGAGAGAGAGAGAGAGAGAGAGAGATTTCGTGTCCCTCGACCCCCCCCTGAGGATGTAATTCGGGTATGGTAACCGGGTGGTTTGGGGATCGGCCCCCCTCGCGCGGACAGTGACAATTTTCAGTAGGAAGCAGAAAGTTAACTATCACCAATGGAAGCTGGAACCTGCAACTGGGGCATGGAACCAAGCCTAAGCCTCGCAGCCTGATGGCCCCGCAAGGGGGCCGGCGGATTTAATACTCCTCATTTGACACCGCGGCATCGCTGGATCCCCTCGATTCCTCGCTCGTACAGACATGGGAGGATCAAGACAGGGCCCGCCTAAGGCAGGCCCGTCAGCAAGGATCCACCCACATCTTGGCCTCCGGCTCAGCCAGTACAGCGGCTGGCAAGAGGATCGGCCGAGAGCAGCGCTAAAGCGCGTCTTGTGTGTTTGATTGTTGCAACTTGAGGCTCCCCCGTGGAAACCTTGCCAAACAAACATTCACATTTGACCCGTGGGATCTTTTGGGTCAGGAAACTCTACGCCAGCGTCAACATCTGAGGGCTGCGGCCCGTCCCGCCCTTCCCTCCAGGGACGCGCTCCGGCGCGATGGAGGCGGCTCCTTCGTCTGTCTCGTGGCAGCCCGCGCCTGACAGTTTACGAGTTGCCAAGACCAGCGCACGTCTGTTTAGATCGGACTGGGCTGGAACGAGGATGACGATCCGTTCCAGAGAGTTCCGGAACGCTCCCAGAGCGTTCCGGAACGCCCTGAGGAGGCCGCGGCGCCCGAGACAGTTTTCCAGAGCCGTCGGGGGTGGACAGAACCCCAACAGTGACACGTCGATTAGTGAATTGTCCGTTTTCGGTTCTCGAGAGGGCGCCGTGGCCGTTATTTTCCAGGCTTGCGCCCGCCAGGTTTGGGCCTCAGGTCGTTTTCACTAAACCACGTTTTACTAAAGGGGGGTCTGTCCATCCCCGAAGCCGCCGGATTTCAGAGATTCTCGATGTGTCTTCACCCGATGTCAGCTTCGTCTTGGCTTCGTGTTATGGGAGGCTGCGCGCCGCCGACCTGTCCTCCTCCCCGTCCCCATGTTTGCGCGCGCCCTTCGGCAGGCCGCCCCCTGGACGGGGCAGCGCCGGCAGTTGCCCGAGGTGCCATGGGTCGTCTCGAGGAGAGGGGATTCCCATGATCGTCGCAGCGCAGCGCGCAGAGGCAGGAGAGCAAGGGCCCCCTCGAGGGCATGAATTTACGCGCGCCCTTCGCGGTTCGGCCCCGATGCCTCGTCATCCTCCTCTGCTCCCCTGGGGGCGCGGCGCGAGAGCGCGCAGTTTGTGCGCGTCGCGCGCCGCGCAGCGCCAAGCGCGAAGGCAGGCGCCACCGGAGAGCCTACGACCCGTGCATCTGTGCAGCCCCCCCCGCGGGCTGCCCGCGCTGAGCCGATCCCCCTCCCCCTTACTGCCGCCCTCTGCTCTCGGCATCGCTGATCATGAGGCGACGACCATCGAGGAGCATCCTTGATCATTTGGCGAGAGAAACCACGCACGAAACCGGGAAAAGCACAGGGAATGGACGTCCGAGCGGTGGCCAGTGCTGGGCCTGCTGCGACATCACACATCCGTGCCCCGCGCCTGTGCGCGCTCCGTCGCGCGCCGGAGGTGATCACCCCCGAGCACCGCGTGCCCTTCAAGGATCGCCAGGGCGGGGTCGATGTCAGCCCGACGGCGTGCCGACGCCGGCGGTTCCTGAGGACAACGGCTCCTGGAGGTGCTTCGCCGTCTCCGGGCCTCCCCCTGGTCCCCCGCAGGCCCGGGGGAGTGTCCAAGAACGGCCCAGGATGAGGTCGGGGCTTGCGGGGATGGCCCAGGGGTCCAGGGCCTTGGCTCCGCTGGGACGCGTGCGTTTGGTCTCGGCGAAGACCATCCAGGAGCATCCTGGAGCAGGGGTGGACCTGAACGACGTTTTGGCGATTTCGTGGGCCGTTTTCGTTTCGATTTCGTTTTGCGTTAAAAGGCGGATTGAAGACAAAACAAGGGAAAACGAAAACAAAACGAAAACGAAAAACACCGTTTAGGTTCAGCCCTCTCCTGGAGCCTCGAGCAAAAGCAAGGCACGCACGAGACCAGCACACGCACGGGGGGAGTGGACGTCCGAGCGACGGCGAGGGGCCCGCATCCCCCAGGGGCCCTACGTAACGAGGTCGCCCGCGGGGGACGCGAGGAGCATCCGCGCGGCGCACTCGCCGCAGCCTGGGCCAGAGCGCCGCTGCTCCTCCGGAGGGTCGGCGCGAGGGCGCGGAGATCCTCCTCCTCCTCCTTCTCCTCCTCCTCTTTCTCCTCCTCTTCCTCTCCTGCTCCTCCTCCTCCTCCTCCTCCTCCTCCTCCTCCTCTTCCTCCTCTTCCTCTTCCTCCTCTTACCTTCCTCCTCTTCCTCCTCCTCCTTCTCTTCCTCCTTCTCTTCCTCCTCTTCCTCCTCCTCCTCCTCCTCTCCTCCTCCTCGTCCTCCTCCTCCTCCTCGTCCTCCTCTTCCTCCTCCTCCTCTTCCCTTCCTCCTCTTCCTCCTCCTCCTCTTCCTTCTCTTCCTCCTCCTCCTCCTCCTCCGCATCGTTCCTCCATGGTCGCACACCGCGGAGCGGGAGGCGCGAATTGAGAGACAGTGCACCCAATATCAGGGGCAACGATACAGTGGAGGCCCATGCCAGGACACACCCTCCTTGCCCCCAGGGTGCCCGGTGCTTCCTTGGTTCCGATGCCTTTTTGCTTTGGAAAGCGGGACGCTCCCCTACCAAAATTCAGTGGACGTCCTGAGGTTCCAGGGTTGGGTTTCTCATGGTCGAGCCCTTACAGGGTCCGGCTTGAATAAGGAACACTTGTGTTTCAAAAGGGGCTCGGTCGTTCCTTCGGTTTGCATACGTTCGGCTCCTTTTTTTGGCGGCGAGCCACCCTGGTGTTCCCTCGGACTTCGTAGACTTACTTGGAAAAAATAGGGCTTCGCTCCTTATGTTTATCGTTCCTCAGGTCTGGCCGTATCCTGTAGGGCGTGGGGGGTATGCATCGGCCCTGCGTCGTCCACACGGGGCGCCGATGGGGGCCAGGGCAGCCCCGCCCCACCCAGGAGCGTGCGGGCTCGCTCTCTGGGGGCCTATCGCCGATCTAGCGGCGGTGTGTTGCTGATGCCAGGGCGATGTTCTCCCCCCTATGCCAGTCCCCCCTTGATCTCTACCCCTCAATATGATCGGTATCGTTTCAGCAATCCCCATCCCCATCCCCATCCCCTTCGAGACCCCCTACAAACGCACCACCCCAGTTAGGGATACACCCCTTGAAACCCGAAGGGAACGACCTACATCCCCACCTAGGGGGGCAAATCGGCCAGTGGGGCCAAGGCCACGCCGCCGGGGATGGGGATCGGTTAAATGATACTCATATAAATGGGCTTACTCATCAGCCCTGGGCGTTTACTCAACAGCCCTGTCCTGTTCGATTCCTTCCTTGGTTGAGTTTGCTAACTTGTTTCGTCTGTCTGGTTGCTTGTTGTGAGGGTGGTCCTTCTTCCGGTCCTTCTTCCATCCGAAGGAGAAGATCCTTTGGACGGCCATCTCCCTGTTCGTGTTCCTTGTCGGCTGCCAGATCCCCGTGTACGGCATCATGACGTCCAAGAGCGCGGACCCCTTCTACTGGACCGCCGCTCGCGGCTCGGTATTGCCGTCCTCATTTCCACTGCTCTCGTCCTCGCATCCTCCGCGCACTCCTCCTGTTCCTCATGTAACCCCATCCCCTTCCTCTCCTCCCCTCCGTTTCCTCCGCGTCATGCTGCTCCGTATCCTCCTCAGCCTCATTCTTCTCCGTCTGCTTCCCGCCGGCCTCCTCTTCCATCCCTGTTCCCTGTGATTGGACCCCCCCCTTCTGCACCAACATGCGTGTTCAAAGGCCAGGCAGGGGGAGGGTCGCTTACAATAGTGTTACCTATTATCATCGTGGAGCCAAACAGTCCAGCAGTTATACGGGTGGAGGGCCCTCGGTTTTCAAACTGCGGGTCTCCGCTTGGCGCCGAGCACGTTGGTTTCAGACGCTACTGACAGCTACACACGGACCAGAGGTTTTCGAAATGTGGTTCTCGCATTGTCGCCGCGGTCATCTGTTTCAAAGGATTTGACAGTAACGGGGGTGGATTCCGATGTGTTCACGAAATCATACTCGCCTTACGAAGTCAGACTGTTGCATTACGGAGGGAGGTGGTTGTCAGAATGTGGTTCTCGCCTCATCGCCACGCACTCAGCCCAAGCATCTTCGAGAGTTACAAGGATGAAGGTTGGTTCGTTATTACAATGTTGTCGTCGTTTGAGGCCTATTCGATTCCCATGACCCGAAGCTTGAAACGGAGGGTGGATTTCAAATGGGGGGTTCGCTTGGTAGTTGCGCAAGTTTGATGGCCAGAACAGCTTGCAAGTGCGCAAGGATTGAGCAATGGAGGGCGTTTTTGTTGCCGCTGCATGTGTTGCCGCTGCATGTGTTAGTTGTTCTAGGCAGTTTAGGTGCGCGGCTTTAGTTTGCTCCTGTTGTCAATTAGTAGGCCCGCGCCCCGGACTTACGACTCGCCGCTTGCGCTTTCGCCCGCGGCCGCGTCTAAAAAGTATCAGTTGTTCTATTCCATCCTCCTCCTGGTATGATATGCCTAGCCTCATAGAGACAGTTTCAAATCGAATCAGTGATCTATGGCGGCGGGGGGAGCTTGGGGGTGAATTGTGCATTCCCAGCGATTGCTCTATTAGCGTGCTCGGAGGTCGTGGATATTGACCTACGCGCGCACACGTTCTTATGATGCGTTGTTGTTTACGCTGTGCAGAAAGCGCCGGTAGACAGAGCCTGCGGCTCCAGCTTTGGAGGAGTGATGGGGGTGCAGTGGGGACCCGAATCGCGAGGAACGGAATTGGGGGAGGAGGGGGGAGTTGAGGGAAAAGGCACACGGGGCACGGGGGGGAAATCAAGACGCCCGCGAATATCAGGGATAGAGGGAAGTGGAGAACAACGCCAAACGCAGGAACATGTTTGCAATTCGTGACGCTTCGCGCATCCTCACTAGTTAATGCAAGCACGATGCCCAAACGAGCTGTCGGGGCAGCTGCGTGATGCGGTTTGGGCGGGGGATGGGCCCTGAGGTCATCGTGCCCCCCCCCCAGTCCCGGCTGCGCGAAGAAATCTCTGCGGGAGATCTCCCCCTTGGGGCAGCTGGTGGAGGCTGGGTGTGCCCAACGCCGCCCCCCGGGGCAGCTGATCGAGGCGGTGGGTTGGTAAAACCCCCCCCCGGCACAGGTGATCAGAGGCAGGGGGTGCTCAACGCCCCTCCCGGGGGCAGCCAGGCTCCCCTATGTCGGGAGCATCGAGACGGGGGTCAATGCAAACGGGGGTCAGCCATGGCACCGAATCCTGCAGGATCCTGCGAAGAGCCCCTCTGGCTGACCCGGGTTAGCGAGCCGCTCGTGGCCGCGAGGCGGCCGCGCGTATTGGCTGACCCGGGTTTGCGAGGACCTGCGCTGCAGTTTTTTCCTGCATTGCAGTTTTTTGGTTTCCTGCATTGACCCGGGCCAGAAGATCCCCGACTATGTTCCCCCGCGTTCCCCCTGTGTTCCCCTGGTTCCCGCAGACCCTTGAACGAGCACTGGTGTTTCCGGTGTTTCTGGGGCAGCTATGTTCCCTATAGGTTCCCGCCGTGTTCCCTTCTGTTCCCACCGTGCTCCCCCAGGGAGGTGGCTTTGGGCACCCGCTGCCTCGAGCAGCTGCTCCGGGAGGTATCTTCAAGTCGGGCGTGTCCCTCTGCAGGAGGAGCATTTAGAAATAGTAAGAAAATGGTCAGGGGACGATTTGTTGAGCAAGTTTTGACCACTTTCCGGGTCTTTTCTAATTTTCCGTCCAGGATCCGCCTGACGGGGGACATGCCCGACCTAAGGGTAATTTTTTGGCAACTCCAGCCTCGATGAGCTGTCCTGGGTGGAGGTCTATCACAGGGGAATTCCGCGTTCTGGACCCTTTTTGGGCACCCCCCCGAACGGCCACGATCGCTTACGTCCCTGGGTGGTCGCACCTCCCAGTGAGAGCCCCTTCATTGCTCTATTGGCCCAGGCAATGCAGGCGAAGGCCACAGCGCCTCAGTCCGCGGATCGGGGTCCCGGACCAGGCCCAGTGCCACAGCACAGCGTCCACGTGGGCGTTGGCCGCGATCGCAGGCCCTGCCCCGCAGAGAAGCAGCTGAGTGCGAAGCTTAGGCTTGCGTTGCCAATTCCGTGGAAAGATTTCGGCGCAGTGGGGCTCATGCCACATTCTTCAGAACAGTGTTTCGATTGACGGTCAACGGCCGCCGTCGGCACTGTAATGGCCGCCTCGTGAAAGCTCAGAGAGACTGCATGGTTCCTCAGGCGAGCCTGATCTAAGCCCCTTTGATCTACTCGGCGTGCTGAACGTTTCTTTTGCGCTGAACTTTTTCTTATGTTCCTTCTTCTTCTTCTTCTTATTATTATTATTATTTGTCTTATTTTTCGTCTTATTCATCTTCTTCTCGGAGACTGCACTCCCTGCTCCAATGCCCCCCCATCCTTCCCCCCCCCCGCCGCTCTCCTCCTCCTCCTCCTCCTCCTCCTCCTCCTCCTCCTCGTTACTTGCACCTGGGAATGCCAAGAGGGATAGATGTGGACCCTCTGCATGGCGGGGTCTCGCCTCTGTTGGCAGGCCCGCCGTGCGCTCCCCATTCAAGGTGGGGCCTCGCCGCAGTGGAAGATAGTTGTGTAGGGACTCCTGGGAGGAGGAGGAGGAGGAGGAGGAGGAGGAGGAGGAGGAGGAGGAGGAGCAGGAGGAGGAGGAGGAGGAGGAGGGGATGAGACCCGGAACGGGGCGATGCGCTGCAGCATCCTCCTCTGCTCCATCACCATCTCGCGTCTCGTCCGCCACCTCCCTCCGCGTCTTCCTCCTCGCCCCCCTTCGCCAGTCTTTCCTCACCCCGCCGTTATCCTCCGGCCGCCGTTTCCCCAGCATCCTCATCGCCGCGCAGCATCGCTGGAGCGGCCCGACACTTGGCAGATTGTTTGAACTTCCCGTTGCTTTTTGTTGACCTGCATGGTGACTGGGGTGGTGGACGGTGGAAGGAGGTTGAAAGGGTTCTCGTGCGTTCTATTGTTGGGATTTCTTCGAGTCTGCAAGGGTTTTCAGAGGTGCTAGGAGTTCCATGGTGAAGGTGGGAAGAGGGACCAGAAGAGACGAGGATATTACATGAGCCCCCGCATCCGCACCTTCGATCACGCCGTGAGGCACTTTCCGGCGTGGGTTGCTCCATGTGCTGCTCGTACTTCCGCGCGCTTCCCGCCCAGGAACCCCTCGCGGGTGCACGACCGCGTGGCTCCTTATGCTTACTCGAGGAGTGGCCCTTGGCCCCCCGCATTGGGCGGGGGCTCGCTGCACAGGACCCGCCGCGAGGTCGACCACGCAACAAAACATATCGAGCGCGTGCCCAGCCTGGCTTTGCAGCGAGGCCGACGGGGCGCACCGCCGGAGGCGGGCGCTGCCGCGAGCGACCGCGGCGCCGGTCCAGTCCCCGGCGCGCCTCGCGCCGGCGCTCCCGCCGCGCGCGCAGGATGCGAGTCATCCTGGCCTCCAACAGGGGTACGCTGATGGAGCTGGGGATATCTCCCATTGTGACGTCGGGCTGGGTGATGCAGCTCCTCGCAGGCCCCCTCCTCCCTCCTCCCCGTCCCATGAGTTGGCCGCGAAAAAAAGGCACGGCCGTTGTTCCCCGGGTCCCCGGTTCCGAAGACGTGCCTCGTGAAGAGGGATATCTCTCCCATTGTAACGTTGGGTTGGGTGACGCAGCTCCTCGCAGGCTCCCTCCTCTCCTCGCCCGGCGCGTTCCACTACTCGCTGAGTGCCTACTCGCAAAGGTTTAAAACAAGCACATGCGTCTTCCTTTGTGTAGTATATCATAAAACCCCCTGCGTCGGATCCAGTCCACTTGCGAGGATCTACTCTGCGAGTAATGGAACAAGCTCGTCGATCTCCCCTCCTCCCCGTCGGGAGCTGGCCGCGGCAGAGGCACGGCCGCTGTTCACCGGTGCCCCGGGTCCGAAAAATTGCCCCGGTGGAGATTGCAGTGGCGAAGCATATGGCGGCCAGAAACGGCAAGAAAGGGCTCTGGGATCCCAGACCCCCTCCAGTCATGGAAAAATCACGACGCGAGGTTTCTCGCTGTTGTCGGCCTCTGGGGGCCCTTACCGGCCATCGCCACCGTCAAGAAACGACTCAGGATGAAAAACCGGTCCTGGGGAATGGGTCCGGACCTTTGGGGGTCGCGTCACGAAAAAAGAATAACGTCGGGGGTCTGGGATTGGAGCCAGAGCCGGAACCGGGACATACCAGCGGAGATTGAACCGGAAGCTAAACAGCGCCGCAGCCGGCAACGAAAACGGCAAAGCGGAACGTGTTTTTGCCGTCCCTTTCCCCAGAAGCCCCGCGCGGAGCGTGTTTTTTTGGTTGCGTATGGTCCGCGCGGAGCGTGTCCGCGCGACCGCAAGTCTACAAGAAACTTTCCACAAGAAACTCAACCCTGAGACCCCAGGACGTCCATGGATTTCTCGTGTGGGACCGTCACACTTTCCATAGCAAAACCATATCGAAACCGAAGAAGCCCAGGGCGCACTGGAGGCAGGCAGTGTGGTTCTTGGCATGGGCAGCCACTGTGTCTGGGATCGAGCCCTGCTGGAATCCAGACCGCGAGGCCACATACATTCAGCAGGGGAAAAAACACAATTAATCGTCGATCCCCCTGAAAATATAGGAAAATATAGGAGGTCGGGGGGGAAGACAAAAACCTAGGAAATATGAGAAAATATAGGGAATCCTGTTATTTGTGTGTATTTATTTGTGCGTCCCAGGGCCCCTTCATACATGCTCGCCGCTCGTGCAGGTGGGTGCAGCTGAGCGTCGTCCTGTACTGGGCGGCGCCCAGGCGTGCCGCGGCCCAGGGGCCGGACCGCCCCCCGAGGAGGGCTCGGCGGCAGTGGTCCCTGCTTCTCCGCCGAGGGCTGAGAGGATGGAGAGGTCCTCCTCCTCCTCCTCCTTCTCCTCCTCCTCCTCCTCATCCTCCTCCTCCTCCTCCTCCCCTCCTCTTTCCTCCTCCTCCTCCTCCTCCTCCTCCTCCTACCTCCCCCCCCCCCCTCCTCTCCTCCTCCTCCTCCTCCTCCTCCTCTTCCTCCTCCTCCTCCTCCTCTCTCCTCCTCTCCTCCTCCTCTCCTCCTCCTCCTCATCGTCCTCCTCCTCCTCCTCCTCCTCCTACAATTACTCAATATGAAAATACTCTCCCTCTTCCCCTGATGGCGTCCGGGTGATGGCCGCGCACCCTCCGCGTACTGTTTTTTACACACAGGATTCCCGGGAAATCCCGGGAAACGACTCTCGCTGAGGCGCCGGCGTCATTTTTTCCCAAAATGCTGCTCTCGTTGAGGCGCCGGCCTCATTTCTGCTCCCGAATCGTTCCGAATCGTGCTCCCGCTGCAGCGTGGGCCTCATTTTCGGATCGGTGTTTGGCCTCCGTCGTTCAGGATGGCGTTCTCGCCCCAGCGCGGGCCTCTTTCTCGCGCGCCCATCCGCCCGCCACCACCGCGCCGCACCACCACCACCACCACCACCACCACCACACCACCACCACCACCACCACCACCACCACCACCAGCCACCACCAGCACCAGCCACCAGTACCAACCCACCAGCACCAGTACCACCACCACCACCACCTAGCACCACCACCACCATCACCACCACCACCACCACCACCACTACCACCACCACCACCACCCACCACCACCACCACCACCACCACGACAACCACGCACACACGCACGCACGCACGCACGCACGTGCACCACCACCCACTACGCACGCGCGCGCGGAGCCACAGGTCTGCTACGACACGCGTCCGCGGATAGAGAAAATCAGCGCCATGGTAAGGGATGGGAGGGAGGGGTAGGACGTCAGATATGACGCGAGCGCACCTAGCTTGTCCTCCTCCCCCTCCCCCTCCCCCTCCCCCTCCTCCCCCTCCTCCCCCTTCTCTCCCCCTCCTCCCCTCCTCCCACCTCCTTCCCCTCCTCCCCCTCCTCCCCCTCCTCCCCCTCCTCCTCCTCCTTCTCCTCCTGGGGTTGCTCGGGGGGAACACGGGCATGTAGTCGGCGATACTTCGCACCCCGATGAGTGCTCGGTGGCGGTGATCCCTGCGTCTCCCCCTCAAGCGACAATTACTCACTGCGTGGAGCTGGCCATATGTGCATCCTTAGCAAGAGGTAATATTGTATTTGGGATATTGAAATGAGCGTCTAGCCATATGAGCCATATGTGCATCCCAGATTGTAGGGTAGTGCTATGGTGAACATACCAGCGGGGAGAGCCACTCGGGACACAACGCAAAAGTAGAAAACAGGCGAACCGCTAGAGACATTCCCACATAATGGCGACGAGCGGAGCCGTGAAAGCACCCTTGGCGGCTCCCCTTAGGTAGCTGAAACCAGCGCCCCGCCTGAGACATCCTCACAATCTGCTCCCCAAGCGAAGAATGTTGAGACAGAAAACAGGCAAACCGCTTGAGACATCCCCACGAAACGGCCGCGAACGGGACCGTGCCATACCCCTCGGCGGCTCCCCTTAGAGGTGCTGAAACCAGCGCCCCGCCCAAGTCATCCTCACAATCTTCTCTCCAAGCGATGGTTGTTGAGACAGAAAACAGGCAAACTGTTTGAGACATCCCCACACAACGGCCGCGAACGGGACCGTCTCATACCCTTTTGGCGGCTTCCCTTAGGGGTGCTGGAGCCAGCGCCCCGCCTCAGACATCCTCAGACTCTGCTATGATAGCCAAGGATGTTGAGACAGAAAACATGCAAACCGCCTGAGACATCTCGGAACATTGCCGCGAACGGGACCGTGAAAACACCCCTGGAGGATCCCCTTTGAGGTGCTGAAGCCAGCGCCCCGCCTGAGACATCCTCAACATCTGTTCTGATAGCCAAGGATGTTGAGACAGAAACAGGCACACCGCTGGAGACATCCCCACAACATTGCTGCGAACAGGACCCTGAAAACACCCCTGGCGGCTCCCCTTGGGGGTGCTGACACCAGCGCCCCGCCTGAGACTTCCTAGAAATCTGTCCTGATAGCCAAGGATGCTGAGACAGAAAACAGGCAAACCGCCTGAGGCATCCCCACACAACGGCCGCGAACTGGACCGTGAAAACACCCCTGGCGGCTCCCCTTAGAGGTGCTGAAACCAGCGCCCCGCCTGAGACATGCTCAACATCTGCTTTGATAGCAAAGGATGTTGAGACAGAAAACAGGCAAACCTGCAACGCATGCTGCGAACGGGACCGTGAAAACACCCCTGGCGGCTCCCCTTGGGGGTGCTGACACCAGCGCCCCGCCTGAGACTTCCTAGAAATCTGTTCTGATAGCCAAGGGTGTTGAGACAGAAAACAGGCAAACCGCCTGAGGCATCCCCACACAACGGCCGCGAGCGGGACTGTGAAAACACTCCTGGCGGCTCCCCTTGGGAGTGCTGAAACCAGCGCCCCGCCTGAGACATCCTCAGACTCTGCTGTGATAGCCAAGGATGTTGAGACAGAAAACAGGCAAACCGCTTGAGACATTGCTGCGAACGGGACCATGAAAGCACCCCTGGGCTCCCCTTTGGGGGGTGCTGACGCCAGCGCCCCGCCTGAGACATGCTCAACATCTGCTCTGATAGCCAAGGATGTTGAGACAGAAAACAGGCAAACCGCCTGAGGCATCCCCACACAACGGCCGCGAACTGGACCGTGAAAACACCCCTGGCGGCTCCCCTTTGAGGTGCTGAATCCAGCGCCCCGCCTGAGACATGCTCAACATCTGCTCTGATAGCCAAGGATGTTGAGACAGAAAACAGGCAAACCTGCAACACATGCTGCGAACGGGACCGTGAAAACAACCCTGGCGGCTCCCCTTTTTGGTGCTGACACCAGCGCCCCGCCTGAGACATCCTCAACATCTGCTCTGATAGCCAAGGATGCTGAGACAGAAAACAAGCACACCGCCTGAGACATCGCCACACAATTGCTGCGAACTGGACCGTGAAAACACCCCTGGCGGCTCCCCTTGGAGTAAGTCTGTGTATGAATACGTCTGGGAACGAGTCTGAGTATGCGTAAGTCTGGGTATGAGTGAGTCTCAGCATGACTAAGTCCGAGTATGAGGAAGTCCGAGTATCAGGAGGAAGAGGAGGAGAAGAAGAAGAGGAAGGAGTAAGAGGCGTCCAAGTAATCACATTAATCCCATCTTAGGATATGGGGAACAAGCTCAAACAATCAATCAAACAGAAAACGCGCGGAGCTCCGAGAGCTGTACTTCGCAGCCTCTTCTTCACTCGCTCGGCGGCAAGCGAGGAGGGGAAGTGAGAAGGGGCGGGCCTTCTCAGAAGGCTCGGAAGTCCCCGGGCCTTTGAGAAGTTTGCGAAGTTTTCCCCGGAAGCCTAAAGCATCTCTCAGAAGGCGCGAGTGTTTCTGAGAAGCCCCGCCGCCGTCTGAGAAGGCCTCCTCCTTCTCCCTTCCCCCCCTCGTTCGCCGCCGAGTTTGCATGTTGCAGCGTCTTCTTTACTCACTCCTGCGAGGCCTAAGTCGGGCACGTCCCTCTACAGGAGGAATATTCAGAACTAGTCAAACAAGAGTCTGGAGCACGATGTTTCGACCATGGTTGGCCATGTTTGCGTATGTTTTAGGCCATCTTGCATTCCTCCCCCCCAAATGCGCCTGTGGGGGAACATGCCCCACCTAATGCGAGGCTCCCGGGTCATCGAGGTAGACCACAGCCTCAAGGAGGACAGGCGCCTCCGCCCGTCCTGGAGCGCAGAGGAGCGCCCCGAGAGAGGCCGCGCCGCCCCCCTGCGCCGTGGCGGCGCCTCGCCGCGGAGGGCACCGCGTCCGGTCCGCCCTCCCCCCCTCCTCCTCCTCCTCCTCCTCCTCCTCCTCCTCCTCCTCCTCCTCCTGCTCCTCTCCTGCTCCTCCTCCTCCCCCTGCCTTCTCTCCTCCCCCTCCCCTCATCCCCCCTTCCTCCCTCCTCCTCCTCCTCCTCCCTTCCTCCTCCTCCTCCTCCTCCCTCCTCCATCCTCCTCCCCTCTCCCCCATCCCCCTCCCCCTCCCCCTCCCCCTCTTCCTCCCCCTCATCCTCCTCCTCTTCCTCCTCCTCCTCCTCCTCCTGCTCCTGCTATTCCTCCTCCTGCTCCTTCTCCTTCTCCTGCTCCTCCTGCTCCTCCTCCTCCTTGTTGCTCTTCCTATTCCTCCCCAATCCTCCTCATCCGCGCTGAGCCCCCCCGGCGGCGCCTCCGGCGCCGCCCCTGGCGTGCTCCGCGCGCCAGAGAGTGGGGCCCAGCGCAAATCCAAGAAGTCCGCGCGGAGTGTCGAACGTTGATGTTTATGTGCGCTTTCTTCCTCTAAGAACGGCGTACAGTCGGACCGAAGTATCAGATCGAGGTCGGTTTGGGGAGGGTACTCTGGTGTTCGTCGTGCTTGCTGGACGTTCTTGTACATCCTGACGAGGGTGCTGGCATATCTCTGCGGCGAGTGAGGGGGGGAGGTGAGGAGGACGAGGAGGCCTTCTCAGAATGCGGTGGGGCGTCTCAGAAGCCCTGGCGCCTTCTGAGAGGCTGTCTGTGTCTAGGGGAAGGCTTCGCAGACTTCTCAGGAGGCCAGGGGGCTTCCGAGCAGTCTTTGAAGTCCCGCGCCTTCTCACCTCCCCCCCAAGTCGGAGGTTGATGGACCTCCTACCCTGACACGCCGATTAAGGAATAGGCCGTTTTCCGTTCTCGGTTTCGGTCCTAGGCCCAGAAGGAGGTTTACTAAAGGGAGGTTTACTAAAGGGAGGCTTGTCCACCGCCGACGCAGGCTCGTCGCCGAGTCTGGTCCGCTCTCTCGAGTCGGGCGGGGATCCATCGGCGAAGCACGACATATCTCAGAGCGATTGGGGCCTGCCGCCGCGGTTGCGGGTGGCGCTCGGCGGTGCGAGGGTTTGGTTGCGTGGCTGCTGTCGATGTCGTCGTCCTCGCCCGCGCCCCCCCCAACAACCCACCCTCGACCAATCCCCGCGGCCCACCCGGCGACCCAGCCGCGACCTGCCCCGCGACCCACCCCGCGCCCGAGCCATCCGTAATATCCGCAAGTGCGGCGTGCTGCGCCACGCTCGGTTGTGCCTGGCCCAGGGCGGCTGGCAGGTTAATACCCCTGCGGTGGCAGGCTGTTATGATCTCTCCAGCCGCGTTGGGAGAGACCCCCGGTCGATGAACAATTTATCTCGTACCGTTTAGCGCCCGCTCAGATACGGGGGTGATCGGAGGCCCTGAGGCTAGTGGCCTCCGCCGAGGGGGAATGGCCGAGGAAGAGAAGTCGTTCTACCCATAAACGTTTGGAGATCCACGCGGTTTTCCTGGATCGGCGTTGGGCCCCCCTGGCGGCGCCGCTGGTGCAGCCCCTGACGCGCCTGATGCGCCAAGGAAGGGGGGGGGCAGCGCAGATCCCAACAATCAGCTCAGACATCAAACAATTCATGTTCATACAGTTGTTCATTGCTCATGCAAGAGGTCGGCACGAACACCGATATCTGCGGTTGCCTCCGTCCAGGGAAGATGATCCCGACCTCGGTGTTGAAGGGTCAGCGTTTAGGGGGATAGGCTCATGAGGGGTGATACATCGTCTCCATCTCGGCCAAAGGGCCCGATAGCACACTCCGCCCAGGAGAGCTATGATTCGTTATCGGGGGCCTATCGCCGATCAGTAGGCCATGCACCGCTGATTCTAGCTCGATGCTTTCCCACTTGAGCTCTGGCCTCCCTATTGTTCACCCTCTGGTTGGCACCAACACCTATCTGTTTGTTTGTATACGTCGGCATGCCTGCACGTACATCCATATACACATACATGCATACGTCTGCATACACGCACAGACACATTCATTTATCTGTATATACATATACACACATGTATGTACACAGTACACATGTATCGGCGGTTGCCTCCACCGAGGGAAGATGATCCCGATCCTGGCTATGTTGCTAAGACTCGGTCGAGAGATCCGATTTATAGGAAAAGGGGCGTGTGCCTGTGGTCGGTGACGATGGTGAGATTGAGGGAGCGGCGGTGGTGTGGCGGGTGAGGATCAGCAGGGTGAGGATCACCAGGGTGAGGATCAGGAGAGTGATTGTCACGCGGGTGAGAATCAGGCGAGCGTTGAGAAGGATAGCGAGGCTGGGGAGAATGAAGATCAGCAGGATGAGGATCGGGCGGGCGATGATCATTGGGGTGAGGATCAGGCGAGTGTGGGGCAGGAGAGCGAGGATCAGCAGAGTGAGGGTCACGAGAATGTAAATCACGAGATGGGAAAAGTGAGGATCAGAATCCGTGGAGAGGTCCAGGGAGTACAGGAGAACAGGATCTGAACGGCGAGCAACTTTCCAAATACCCTATTCTCTCGGCCAGTCCTGACCCTAAGCCATGGGCCATGGGCTCTCGGCTGCCCCAAGTGCGGCGTCCAAGGGACCTGCATCTTCCTTGCGCATCTTCACGACCTCGTCGCACAGTTGAGGTATCGTCGGACGGGGCCTGGACGAGGATTTATCAGTTCCAGAGCGTTCCAGAAAGCTCTCAAAGCGTTCTGGAACGTTCTGAGCAGGCCGCGGCACCCGAGACATCTTTCAGAGCCGTCAAATCTCGGAGATTCTCGATTCATGCTCAGCCGACTTTATCATCGTTCTGGCTCCGTCTCCTATGGATACCGTTTTTGTGTTTGCGCACCTCATACCGTTTTTGTGTTTGCGCACCTCATCCCTTGGCATCTCAGCGTCGCGAAAGATTCGGCCACGCGCTGAAGGGAGTAGGGGGAGGGGGGAGGCTTCTTAGAAGCATCCCTGCTTCTTCGAAGGCGCGGGCCTTTTCTAAAGATGTAGGGCTGGCGCCTTCTAAGAAGCGGCCTCCTTCTAAGAAGCCCCCCCCCTCCCACCCAACCCCCGTGGGCGCGCTGCCAATCCTTGGCATCTCAGCGTCGCGAAAGATGCACGACGAGCCGTCTCTCCCAATATTCTTGCCCCGGGCCCCCCCGCGGATCGGCCCGGGTCGAGAGAAGGGCCGCAGGAGTATCGGGTCGAGAGTTCGACGCTGTGGAGGAGGAAAAGGATGTGCAGGAGGAGGAGGAGGAGGAAGAGAAGGAGGAGGAGGATGACAAGAAGGGAGGAGGAGGAGGAGGGATGACGATCACGACGACGACGTCGATGTCGACGCCGACGCACACGCCGATGACGACAACTGCGGCGACAGCGGCGGCGACGGCGACGACGACGACGGACGACGTCGATGTCGATGTCGACGTCGGACGACGACAACGGACGACGAAGACGACGACGTCGACGTCGTCGACGACGACGACCACGCCAGACGACGACCACGACCACGACCACGACCACGACCACCACCACGACCACGACGACGGACGGCGGACAACGACGACGCCGACGGACGACGACGACGACGACGACGGCGTCGACGACACCGACGACGACGACGACGGACGAGGACGACGACGACGACGACGATGGTGACTCAAACGGAAAGGCGTCCCTCGCTTGCCGAAGGGGTCTCGTTGGAGCCTCTTGGTCTCTTTGCTGGGGCCTGGGCTTGAGCCAGGGCCGGGGCCGACGACGACGACGACGACGACGGACGACGACGACGACGACGACGGACGATTCGTACGATGGACGACGAACGACGACGACGACGACGACGACGACGACGACGGCGACGACGAACGGCGACGGCGATGGCGACGACGACGATGACGACAAGACGACGACGACGACGACAACGACGAGCGACGACGGACGACGATGACGACGACGGACGACGGACGACGACGACGACGACGACGACGACGAAGTCGACGTCGTCGACGACGACGACGACCGACGAAGAGGACGACGACGACGTCGACGAGACGATGACGAGGACTACGACGACGACGGACGACGACGGACGACGACGACGACCACGACCACGACCACGACCTACGACGACGACGACGACGATCGACGATCGACGTCGTCGACGACGACGTAACACGACGACGACGTCGACGTCGTCCACGCGACAACGACGACGACGACGACGGACGACGACGACGACGACGTTGACGACGGACGACGCCGACGACGACGACGACGACGACGACGGACGGCGACGACGACGTCGACGACGGACGACGACGACGACACGACGACGACGACGACAACGGTCTACGAAGGACGACGACGTCGTCGGACGACCACGACGGACGACGACGACACGACCACGACCACAAAAAAGGACGACGACGGCTGACGACGACGACGACGACGACGCCGACCGACGACGACGACGACGACGACGACGACGACGACGGACGACGACGACGGACGACGACGACGACGGACGACGACGACGACGACGACGAAGACGATGACGGACGACGACGTCGACAAAGACGATGACGGACGACGACGTCGACAACGACCCACGACCACGACCACGACGGACGACGACCACGACCACGACCACGACCACGACCACGACGACGGACGACGACGGACGACGACGACGACAACGACAATGGCAACGACGACGGCGACGACGGACGAGGACGACGACGTCGGACGACGACAACGGACGACTGAGACGACGACGTCGACGTCGTCGACGACGACGACCACGCCAGACTACGACCACGACCACGACCACGACCACGACCACCACCACGACCACGACGACGGACGGCGGACAACGACGACGCCGACGGACGACGACGACGACGACGACGGCGTCGACGACACCGACGACGACGACGACGGACGAGGACGACGACGACGACGACGATGGTGACTCAAACGGAAAGGCGTCCCTCGCTTGCCGAAGGGGTCTCGTTGGAGCCTCTTGGTCTCTTTGCTGGGGCCTGGGCTTGAGCCAGGGCCGGGGCCGACGACGACGACGACGACGACGGACGACGACGACGACTACGTCTACGACGACGACGACAACGACCACGACGAATGACGACGACGGACGACGACGACGACGCAGACGACGAACGACGACGACGACGACGACGACGGACGGCGACGACAAGGACGACGACGACGACGACGACGACGACGCCGACGATTGCGACGACGGACGACGATGACGACGCCGACGACGGACGACGACGACGACAACGCCGAAGTCGACGTCGTCGACGACGACGACGACCGACGAAGAGGACGACGACGACGTCGACGACGACCCCCCGTAGACACGACACGACACGACACGCCGACGGCTGACGACCGACGAGACGCCTCGCGGGACGCGATCGTCGACGACGGCACGACGACGGAGCACAACCACGACGAACGACGACGACAACGGTCGGCGATGCGCGACGACGTCGTCGGACGACACGCGGGGGACGACGACGACGGACGACCACGACCACAACAACACAGGACCGCTCGAACGGGCTGACGACGAGACGCGACGACCGACGGACGCCGCCGACGACGACGACCAACGGACGGGACGACCGCGACGACGGAGCCGACGACGACGGACGACGGCGACGACGACACGACCGACGACGACGACCGACGACGGGACGACGACGTCGACAACGACCCACGACGACAACGACGACGACGACGACGGACGACGACGACGACGTCGACGACAGAAGACGACGACGACGACACGACGACGACGACGACGACGACGACGACGACGACGACGACGGACGACGACCACGACCACGACCACGACCACGACGGACGACGACCACGACCACGACCACGACCACGACCAGGACCACGACGACGGACGACGACGACGACGACGACAACGACGACGGCATCGACGACGGCGACGACGGACGAGGACGACGACGACGACCATGATGTTTCAAACGGAAAAGCTTCCCTCGCTTGCCGAAGGGGTCTCGTTGGAGCCTCTCGGTCTCTTTGCTGGGGCCCGGGCTGGAGCCAGGGCCCGGGCCGAGGCGGGGGGAGGGGCCCTCATCTCCCCTGCCGATGGGGAGACCACCCCCCCAGCCTATTTGTCCACAGGAGGGGGGATCGCGGGGGGGGGGGGGTACGCCCCGGGGGGACACACTCCCCGGACCCGGACCCCCCCCAGGCAGAAGGGTAACACAAGGCAGGGCTTCACAACCAAATTGCGACGTTTAATCGGTTACGTTGTCTGGACTGGATCGTTCAAGGAGGGGGGCCGAGGGAAAGGAGGGGAGCTCGGAGCGGGACGAGGACGAGGACGACGACGACGACGACGAAGACGAGGACGAGGACGCGGACGCACGGAAGGGCGGACGACGACGACGACTCAAACGGAAAAGCGTCCCACGCATGCCGAAGGGTCGGCGAGTTTTTCAAAAGCTCTCCTGAAGTGGCAGCCAGGTGACTTGGGATGAAGAGATTCCTCCTCCGAAAAGAGGTTCCTTGCAGATTCAGAGATGTGTGTTGAGCTTCTGCCTGGCACGGTTACTCATCTCCATCCTGCAGCCACGACGTTGAAATGAGGAGCACTTTGGGTTCGGAAGGGCTCACTACTCCTTAGGTCCTTCTATGGTTATTCCTCCAGCGGCGATCCTCTTGCACCCTAGTCGCGTTTGTGGCGAAAAAGGGGTTGTGCTCCTTATTCAGCGCCCCTTCTGGTAGCAGCTTGATTGTAGCCATCACCTTCCGCTCTCCTTTCCCGCACGCTTCGTCTTGCCTGGGGAGGAACGTGCGAGAACGGTCTGGCGGTAGGATTGCCCACAGTGTTTTTTCTGTGTCGATGTCGTTGGTGGCATCGTTCCCCACGCTGTCGCCATCGCCATCTTCCGTCCTTCGAGCGGGGCTAGGACGAGGATAGGTCCGTTCCAGAGCGTTCCGGAACGCTCCGAGACGGCTCTGACGCCAGACATCTCCTCCAGAGCCGCTGGATCTCGGAGATTCTCGCTTTGTCCTCATCATTTCGGATGCAACTCCTGGGAGGTCAGATCCTGATTTAGCCCTGGTCCGAAATCCCGCTTAATCCGGCTTAATCCCGCTTGATGAATCCAGCTTAATCCGGCTGAGTCCTGCTTGATCCGAGGCCCACTCTGGCGCAACAGCCCCCCAGTGGGGCTCGATCCTCCTTGACCCCTCCGACGAAAAAACCTCCCAGTAGCTGCCTCCTGACCTCGTCCTGGCCTCGTCTGGGTCCTCGCCCCCCCGATGGGGCTTCATCCTCCTTGGTCCTTCCGACGAAAAGGCCTCCCAGTAGCTGCCTCCTGACCTCGTCCTGGCCTCGTCTGGGTCCTCGCCCCCCTGCTTCTCCCCTGGAACTGCCCCCCCCAAAAAAGCCCCCGGCCCTGGCCGGGGCGCGCGGCCCGCGCGGCCGGCCGGCGCGCGGCGGGCGGAGGAACCTCTTTTTCGGGGCGCAGAAGCTCTTCGGCCTGCTGATCACCCTCGGAGAGGCGCCCCCTCCCGCCCTCCCTCCAGTCGGGGGCGGCAAAGAGCCCAGACCCCCTCGAGTCATGAAAAAATCACGACGGAAGGTTTTTCGCTATTGACGGCCTCTGGGGACCCTTACCGGCCCTCAGGACCGTCAAAAAACGACTCGGGATGGATGAAAAACCGGTCCCGGGGAATGTGTCCGGACCTCTGGGGGTCGCGTCATGAAAAAATCATGACGTCGGGGGTTTGGGAGGGGGGGGCTGACTAGGCGGGGGGGTGGATCTCATGGCGGGGGCCATGTTATTTCCCCAGATCTCATGGCGCCGCTTCTGGTTTCATTGCGTCCCTGGCCCTTCCGCTGGGCCGCGCACATGCCGCCGGTCAGGATTTGCACCCCCCCCTCTTGGACACCCCCCTCTTGGCCGCTTCCGATCCAGAGCTCCCCTCCCCAGATCTCCTCACGTAGGGCTGTGGAGGTCGATCATAATGGAGAGGCAACGTGCTGCCAAATAATCCCCAGATGTCCAGAAGATGTTTCAGACAGGTTTTGAATCTGTAAGACACATGCCTGACGCATGTTTGGAACATGTTTTGCACATGTTAAACACATCTTCAATTCAACGATCGGATTGTTAGAGTGTCCATTGGGCCATCTTGGACGCCCCAACGACCCGCGGAACCCCCCGTTCAGGTCCAGGGGAGGGGGTAGGGGGAGGGGTAAACTCCTCCCCGAAAGGGAAGAAGGGGGTTGGAAGGGGAAACTCTCCAGACCACCGACGCCCAGAGGGCTGGTGGGATTCACTTATCGGATTGTTCGAGTGCCCATTGTCATGGCATCCACAAGCGTAGGGAGCGGCAAACACTTTTGCGTCGCAGCGCGGCAGGGGCAGTCCGCGCGCGCGCTCGGGCAAGGCCGGGGACGCCGTTGCGAATTGCCCGTGTGCAGGAGGGGAAAGAGGGGGAAGAGAGGATTGGCCGCGGGAGGGGGAAGGAGGGGGAGGGAGGGGGAAGGAGGGGGAGGGAGGGGGAAGGAGGGGGAAGAGAGGGGGAGGGGAAGAGAGGGGGAGGGGAAGAGAGGGGGGAGGAGGGGGAAGGAGGGGAAGGAGGGGAAGGAGAGGGGAAGGAGGGGGAAGGAGGGGGAAGGGACAGGCTCTCACGCAGCGGGAACCGCAGCGGTGCGCCCGGGGCGGCCAAGCCGGTGCTGCAACCCTGTCGCGTAGGGAACAACCACGCGACGGCAGGCTCTTGGGCCAATCTTCGGCCTCCAGGGCCGTCGGAAGCGGCTCGGGGTGAAGGGCAGGTCCCCGAAAGTGGGTTCAGACCTCCAGGGGTCCGTGCCACCGCGCTGGATGTCTGGTCCCTCGGGCTGGCCGGGACAGGCGGGCCAGCCCTCGTCCTGGGGGCTGCGGGCAGCAGCGGTGCCATGCGTCCCGCTTGAACTGTCTGCAGCTACGGCCCCAGCATCCAGGACTCTGTGCGGCGTGACGGTGGAAGAGCGGTATCAAAGAAGCCCTTTCCGCCGTCGGGGGTGCTTTTCCCAGGGCGGCTGGAAAGTGCGTATCCCTACGGGGCCACGTCAGGATATAGACTTTTCAGCCGCCTGGACAGGAGCCCCCGGTGACGGAACAGTTTACCGTTCTTCGCCCGCTAAGTGGCACCTCCTCCGTTTCCTCCTCCTCCTCCTCCTCCTCCTCCTCCTCCTCCTCTTCCTCATCCCCCTCTTCCTCCTCCTCCCCCTCCTCCACCTCCCCCTCCTCCTCCTCTTCCCCCTCCTGCTCCTCCTCCTCCTCCTCCAAGAAGAAGAAGAACTTGAAGGAAATGATTGTCGGAACCCTGCGAGAATATCCGGGGTCGGCGCTAGCGCCCCCGGGCGGCGCCTCAAGCGCCGCTCCTGGCGCGCTGCGCGCGCAGGGGAGGGCTCGGTATCGCTCGGACGAGTGCACCTTATCTCGGCGGGGATTATGCAGGAGCATCCTGGATCATACTGCGAAGAAACCACGCACGAAACCGAAACAAAAACACAGGGAATGGACGTCCGAGCGACGGGGAGAGGGGGAGTCGGCGCAGAGCCACGGAATCCGCGCGGATCTCCACAAGTTTCTGAAAAACGCAGTTGTGTCTTACTCCATATGTCATGCTCTTGCGCGTTGGCCTCTTCCACCGCTCCGCTGGGCGAAGTAGGAGAACATTCTGCACACGTGTTGATCACCGACGTGTTCTCTTGTCGCACCGCTGGCGGGAGCGGAGGAAGATGTAGAGGAGGGCGGGGGATCATCTGAATATGCTATCACGCTATTTTAGGGGATCGGAAACATCCCCCTCCCCCTCAGAAATCGTGGGGGGTAGGGGTAGGGTTCGCATGTGGCCCCCTGCCCTGTCCACCGCACGCTGGGGGCGCAGGGCGTCGGTTCCCCACGCGATGGATATGGACAAATCCCCGCCTCGTAGCCACGGGCCGAAGTTGCGCGACCTGGCGCGAGCGGAGAGCGGCGACCCCCTCCCACGGCTGTGCGGCCCAACCGGTTATCTCAGAGACCGACGCGCGCGCGAGGCCGCAGGCCTCGGGCCTCGCTGCCAAAAGCACGCTCACGCCCGCGCGCGGGCCCACGTCTCACCAGAGAAGAGAGAACCACCACCACCAGCTACACTTCGGTCGGGCATGGCCCTCTACAGGAGGAATGTTCAAGAATAGTCGAACAAATAGTCAGGGGATGTTTGTTTGGCTATGTTGAACTGTTTTTGAGCATGTGTTCCCCATGTTTCATTTTCTTCCAAGCTCCGCCTGCAGGAGGACATGCCCGACCTAGAGCTACGGGGGCCGGCCGCTCCCCCCCCACCCCCGAGCTGGTGGCACCCCGCTCGGGGCGCGCCCCCAGAGGGTGCCCGGAGCGGAGTGCCGCCAGCTTGGGGGGGGTGGTCTTTGGGAACGGAGTTCTCCAGTATCGTTTAACCGATCCCTATCCCCATCCCCATTCACATCTCGAGCCCCTCCTCCCTGCTCCTCCCTGCTCCTCCTCCTCCTCCTCCCCCTCCTCTCCTCCCCCTCCTCCTCCTCCTCCTCCTCCTCCTCCTCCTCCCCCTCCTCTCCTCCTCCTCCTCCTCTCCTCCTGCTCCTCCTCCTCCTCCTCCTCCTCCTCCTCCTCCTTCTCCTCCTCCTCCTCCTCCTCCTCCCCCTCCTGCTCCTCCTCCTCCTCCTCCTCCTCCTGCTCCTCCTCCTCCTCCTCCGCCTCCTCCTCCTCCTCCTCCTCCTCCCTTTCTCCTCCGCGCACATGCCTCGTGGGCCCCCGTGCCTGGCGCAGCCCCTCCTGCGCTGCCGAGCCCGCCAGGTGGCGGGTCTGGAAGCTGCGGGAAGGGGGCCGCGCGCGGGGCCGCGGAGGCCGACGGCGATCGGCGGGCCGACCCCTCTTCCTCCCTCTCCTCCCCCTCCTCCTCCTTCCCCCTCCCCTCGCCCTTTCCCTCCCCTCCTCCCTCCTCTCCTCTCCTGCTCCCTCTCCCCTTCCCCCCCCTCCCTCCCCTCTCCTCCCCTCCCTCCCCTCCTCCCTCCCCTCTCCTCTCCTCCTCCCCCCCCCCTCCCCCTCACCCTTCCCTCTCCTCCTCCCCGTCCTCCCCCTCCTCCCCCCTCCCCCTCCCCCTCGCCCCCAGGACTACGACGGGGTCCCTTCGTCCGCTTGATTCCCCGACTACTCAGCCACGCGCAGAGAGGGGGAGGGGGGAGGGGGGAGGGCTGCTTAGACGCACCCCTCCTTCTTAGAAGGCGCGGGAACGTGTCATTCGGGCAGGTGGTAGTGCGCGGTGGCCAGCAAGGGGTGGGGTGAGGAACGGGTCCTGAAGGGACACTCTGGGGCCCCTTCTCGGCCCCTGCCGGCTCCCACAGAGGCCCTCAGAGGGCCCCTGTTGGGGCCCTTTCCTTCACCCCCCATTTGGGTCTCCTCCCCCTCCTCCTCCTCCGCCTCCTCCTCCTCCTCCTCCTCCTCCTCCTCCTCCTCCTCCTCCTCCTCCTCCTCCTCCTCCACTGCCACCCGCCCGGGTCCTCCGAGAGCTCCAGTTCTCCGTGGCCTCTGCAGTTCTCGAGCGGGGTCCGTCGAGGCGGCGCCTCTGCCGCGGCACGGGCGCCCGTGCCGACGGCGGCCTGCGTGATTGCTGGACCTCAGAGCCCCCGAATCATCAGGGGTAACTCGGGTCAGGGCTACCTCGGGTTCGCTTCTCGGGATTCCGAACCCGAGTTACCCCGGGCCCGAGTTACCCCGGATAACTCGGGCGTCCAGAGACCCAAATCATCAGGGGTAACTCGGGTCAGGGATAACTCGGGTTCGTTTTTCGGGAATCCAAACCCGCGTTACCCCGGACCCGAGTTACCCCGGATAACTCGGGCGCCCAAGGACCTGTGGGGGGCAGGCGTGGCTGGGCGTGCACGTCGTTTGGCTAGGGGGCCACACGCGAACCCTACCCCTAACCCCCCACGATTTCTGAGGGGGAGGGCGGGGTTCACTTCTTCTGGGAGCCCCCGAGCGAAGTGACCCCCCCCCCCCCCTTAGAAATCGTGGGGGGTAGGGGTAGGGTTCGCGTGTGGCCCCCTATTGGCGGGGCTCCCCGTGCCCTCCTCGCTGGTTCTCCTCGTCGCTCGCAGGACGCCCGGCGCTTTCTCCACGGCGGAGCTCCCGCCCGGCCTGTGGTCCAATGTGGGGGCGCCCGTGTCTCAAGGGGGGGCGCGCCGAGCAGCGGCGAGCAGTCCCCGGGCAGGGACCCATGTGGAGTAGCCTCGGGGCGGGAAGGCGTATTGCAGCATCGCCGATCAGTCTTAATCAGGCTTGCTCTCCGCCCCCCGCTTGTCCCGCCGACGCGCAGGCATTCGCCTACGTGGTGAGCGGCATGTACGGCCCCCCCGCCGAGCTCGGTTTCGGGAGCGCCCCCGCCCCCACCCTCCTCCTCGGGATCCGCCTCCTGCGCCAGATCCAGCCTCCTCGATCTCCTGCCCGTTCCTCCTCGCCCCCTCGAGGACCCACAGGACGGCACAAGCAGGAACTCCTCTGGAGGTCCGCGTGGGCTGCCTGGGTCGGCGCTGGCCGCCCCCTCGGCGGCTTCTCCAGCGCCGCCCCCTGGCGCGGTCCGCCGCACGCCAGGGCGCAGGGGCCCAGCGCCGACCCAAGACGTCCGCATGGGCCTACCGACGAGTATGCTTACGATGCTACTTTTTTCGTGGTTTCCGTTCCAGAGTTATGATGTTCCAACTTGTTTTAGCCTTGATCACCGGAGAGAGTTTCGAGCACCAGGAAAGTGCCGACATTGGAAGGCTGTCGCGTGTCGGGCCCTGGGAGGCACTCGTCCGACACTGTTTCGACACTCGTTTGACACTTTCATGGGTGCTCGAAATTATTTTTGGATGTGGTCATTAAGTACGATGGGGACATCATAATTCCAGAGACTTGAGTCATGTCGCCAGCCCCCAGAGGATGTCATGTGCGGCTGCCAGTGTCGCGTGTGTTGATTGCCGCTTCCCCACATGCTGCTTGCGTGCAGCTGTGACTGGCTCGTCCTCGTCTCCCTCCGCGTCTGCTGACGGGTTTCTTGGGGGCCTCTTGGAGACCTTCAGGGCGGCATCTTGGAGCCATTTTAACTCTCAGGGGTGCTTTTTGGAGCCCTCGGGGGCCTCTCGAGGATATGCTCGGGGTCTTCATGGGACCAGTATGTGGGGGAGGGTTCCCGGGATCCGTCTTGGTAAGGCAGTCGCGGGGCCGTCTTGGAGTCTTCTTGGGTCCTCTGGGGGCCCCTTCCCTCTCCCCTCCTCCTCCTCCACCTCCTCCTCCTCCTCCTCCTGCCCCTGCTCCTCGAGGAGGAGGAGGAGGAGGAGGAGGAGGAGGAGGAGGAGGAGGAGGAGGAGGAGGAGGGGGGGGGGCTCTTCCCTCTCCTCCTCCTCCTCCTCGTCTTGGGCCAGTTCGAGGTTTCCTTGGCGTCGTCCTGGGCCGACTGTCCCCTTGGGGCTCTCGGTGGCGGCTGGGCTCTCGAAGATCGAAAGTTAGCACACGTTCGATCGAAGCACGGGGGAATGGAATTACAGCGATGAGACAGCAGGCAGGAACGCATGCGCGTCTCTCATACCGAGGCCCTCGTGCAGATTGTCGTGGGGGGTATCTTGGAGCCCGTCGGATGCATCGTGGGACCCACTCGGCGCGTCTTGAAAGGCTGGCTGCAGCGGAGATCCATGCCAAGAATCACCCTGCTCGCCTCCAGGGTGCCGTGTTTTTTCGTGGGTGTCGACGGTTTTGCTATGGAAAGCGTGACGCTCCTACGCCAAACATCAGTGGACGTCCTGGGTTCTCGGGATTGGGTTTCTTGCGGAAGGTTCCTCGTGGATTGGCCCCCGCTGTAGGTTCGGCACGAACGAAATGGGTACGGAAAGAATGGGTACGATGCCCAACAGCAGTTCTTGTTCATTTTGAACAGGACTCTCTGTCCGCGCTGCCGCGGGCTGTGTCCATGTGCGACAGAAGGCCGCCTGCCAAGCAGCGGCCGCTGTTGGTTAGGGGCAACATTTGTTCTGCATATATCTACATATGCATAACAAGTGTTGTCCCTATACGTGGCAGCAATGTATACACATGTCACTATGTAATACAAGTGTGTATATATATATATATGTATATGTATATATATATATATGGTTGGCAGTGTGCCCATTTTTTCCGTACCTGTTTCGGGCGTCCCAATAGGTTCCTTGTGCGACAGTGCCGAGCTTTTTTGGCGGCACCGTTGGTCTCCCCGGGCCGCCCTCGGCGCCCCGGAGAGCTCAGCAGGGCTACAGGGAGGCGTCGTGCCGCCCAGGAGCCCCCTGGCCTCGGGGGGGAGCGATGTCGATGGCGTCCGATGCCCATTCGACTCGATTTGGGATTCCGATTTGGGCGCCGATTTTTCACTGGAGGCCTACTAGCCTACCGATTTCCGCCGATTCGACTTTCCCGACTCGGCTGCCGATTTCCGCCGATCCGATCCAGTTCCATCGCCGATCCGACTTATCGATTCGATTCTGGGGTCTCCTGGCATGACGATTTCTGGGGGGGGCCTTGAAAGAGCACAGAACCCTGCCATACATCACCTTGCCTTCTGGTACGCTGGCCTGGCGCCTCTCCTTTGCACTGCTGTGGTGTTACGCATCGGTCGGGGTTCCTGCTGTCATGGCCGCCGTGTTGACTTGGAACAAACTTTGTCTACGTCCACGCCACAACGCGCCAGGCGACACACGGGTTTCAAAATTCAATTTCGCCCCCTCGTTCTCCTGTCCAGGGTGGCAATCCTCTCCTACTGCGTCATCCACCTGATGCTCCTCCGCCTCCTCATCCATCCTTCTCCGTCCCTCCTTTCAATGTATACAAAAAACCCTTTCGAGCAGCGATAACACAAACACGCTGGTTTCCGTTGGGCTTCCTCCCCTCTTGTCGTCCATCCTTCCGCGTTCTCCTCCTTTGTCTCTCCACAATCCCCGTCCAACCCCTCTGCTCGTCTGCTGTCGTTCGCTATTTCCCAGCACCTGGCATCCTCCCTAATACTGGTACAGATACTGATACGCCTTCCTCGCCTACATCGGATCCTAGACGGCCTGGAACTCATGTTCCCACTCCTGGCTTCTCTCCCAGCAGCATTCCTTCCCCCCGTTCTCCAACTCTGGGCCCTCGATCTTCTGCTCAGGGCGGAACTACTAGAGCAACGTGGTCTCCTCGCTCGCCATCCTGACCTTCCTCCTTGGCCCCGCTGTTGGGAAAACGACCGCATCGTATGTCACCGCGAGACGGAGAAGCTCACACGTATGCTGCATGATAAATTGCGATGCTTGGCTTCCCCATCTCCAGCCGTCATTGCATCTCAAAATCTTCCTACCCTGAGGCGCGGCCTCCCGCGCGAGGGCGGCTAACGGCCCGGCCTGGCCGCCCCAGTCGTTCGTCCGTTCCGTTTTTTCCCCCCTCCCGCGCGCGCCGAGACCGCCCCCCCTCGTCCCACGCGATCCACCTGTCCAGGAGGAGGAGGAGGAAGAGGAGGAGGAGGAGGAGAAGGAGGAACAGGAGGGGGAGGAGGAGGAGGAGGGAGGAGGGAGGAGGGAGGAGGAGGACGAGGAGGAAGGCAGCTCGTGCCTACCCCTTCGCGCGATCCCTCCGCCCTCCGCGCCCCCCCCCGGAGGAACTGTTTGCTGATCATCCTGCAGCTCTTCTTTGCAGGCGGACCCGCCTCCTCGCCTCCTCGCCTCCTCCTCCTCGCCTCCTCGCCTCCTCCGCCTCCTCGCCTCCTCGCCTCCTCGCCTCCTCGCCTCCTCCTCGCCTCCTCGCCTCCTCGCCTCCTCCGCGGGCCGGTGCAGGAGCCAGCCAGGGGCCGCTTGCTGTCGGCGGGGGGGGAGGGTTGCCGTGGCCAGCGGAGGTTTTCGGTCGGGGGCGGACAGACCTCCTACCCTGACACGTCGATCAAGGAATTGGCCGTTTTCGGTTCGCGAGAGGGCGTCTCGGCCGTCATTTTGTGGGTCCAGGTCCGTCGGTTTCGGTCCCAGGCCGTTCTCACCAAGGGGAGGTTTACTAAAGGGAGGTCTGCCCACCGCCGATTCGGAGGTGCAGGGCTGGACCCAAGCGGTGTTTTTCGTTATGTTTTCGTGCTGTGCTTCGTTTCGCTCTACCTGTTTTCCTGTACCTCCCTGCCAAGACGAGCAGCAAAGCACGGCCGAAATACAGCAAGACAGCGTTTAGGTCCAACCCTGCGGAGGCGTTCGAAGGTGTTCGGACGTTTTCGCCTCGCCAGGACCTGAAGTTTTATTCGAACGCATAGCGCGCGTTGTGTGGCTTCCAACCCACCCACCCACCCAGAAGATACGTCCTCTCCGCTTCACCCGCCCCCGTTGCAACAGCGCCCGTTGCTTGGCGTGCAGGTATGCAATTCAGCGGTGCGCGCAACGTGTTATTCGGGGGTGGACAGAACCCCCCACAGTGACACATCGATTAGTGAATTGTCCGTTTTCGGTTCTCGAGAGGGCGCCGCGGCCGTTATCTTCCAGGCTTGCGCCCGCCAGGTTTGGGCCTCAGGTCGTTTTCACTAAACCACGTTCTACTAGAGGGAGGTCTGTCCATCCCCGAGTTATGTGATGTGCCAGCGAACCCACCCACTCACCCACCCGCCCGCATATTGCGCGTTAGGTGGTTTCAAAAAAACGTGATCTCCAAGAGATTTTTTCGGGGGGGCCCAGAGGTCGTCCTCAACGGCCGGTGGAGGCCCGAGCAGTGACCCGAACGCCACCGGGTGTCGGGGGGAGGGAAACGGAGGTGGATGGGGGCGGTCTCGGCCAAGACGCTGAAAGAAGAAGCAGTTCGGATTCGTCGGGGGCGGAAAAGAGGGGGGTGATGACTAGGGGGGGGTGGATATCATGGCGGAGGCCACGATATCTCCCCAGATCTCAGGGCGCCTCTTCTTGATTCATGACGTCCCCGGCCCCCCCGCTGGGCCGCGCACATGCCGCCGGTCATGATTTGCACCCCCCCTCTTGGACACCCCCCTCTTGGCCGCTCCCAAATGGGGTCGGTCTCGGCCAAGACGCTGAAATAAGAAGCAGTTCGGATTCGGAAGGGGTTTGTTGTTTCTCGGGTCATTCCATGATTGTTCTTCCAGCGCTCCTCGTACGCCCAGGCGCCGTGTGATGCGTTCCTTCTGGCAGCGGCTTGACTGTTTGCGGGGTTCCCACATGGGGTCATATAGCAGATGGGGTCGAAGGATCATGCTGCATCGAGAATGTTTCAGCGAGGCGGCACGATATCCAGAGTCTGGGTTCGCCATTCCGACTTCGCCGGTGCATCGGCGATGTATCGGCCATTATCCTTGTCATGTGTCTCCTCGTTATCGTCCTCTTTTCCTAGGTCATCAGTGGTTTTCGACGAAGGCTTGGGGTCGCTGCAGACCCCCTATCGGCCCATATGCTCTTCGGGCGTATCGGCAGAGGAGGAGCCGCGTTAGAAGGAGAAGTAAGATCCCATTTCTTTATTGCTTGGGGCATGACGGGCGTCATGGCCTCCGGCCCCCCCCAATGACGTAACGCTTCCCCCCCAGTGCGTTCTGGGCATTGCCACACCATACGCATCGTGATCCGCATAGGCGTCCGCATAGAACTGTGCATAGGAGTCTGGTCCACCGTCGTCGTCGTCGTCGTCGGCGTCGTCGTTGTCGTTGTCGTTGTCGGTCGTCGCTCGGTGCTCATCGTCGTCGTGCGCGCGGACGCAGCTGGAGCCTGTTTTTTTTCGGGCCAATGACGGCAATCATCTGGGGGGGGGAGGTGGCCGATGACGTCACGTTTCGTGCCGGCGGCGTCTGGGAATGCCTAGGAATCGCCGAGGACGGGTACCAGCACCATGTCGGTGGCGATCTGCACCACAATGCCTGTGTACACCATAGTTCCTGCGTGCACCACAGCGCCTGTGTACACCACACCGCCTATGTACACCACAGCAGCAGCGTGCATCACAGCGCCAGAGTGTGCCACAGTGCCTGCTGGCACCACAGCGCTTGTGTACATCACAGCGCGCGCCTGCGTACACCACACCAGCCGTGTACAACACAGCCCCAGTGTACACTACAATGCCTGCGTGCACTTAGCCCGGCACCAGTGAATAAACCATCCTGCGGTGCACGCTGAGACGCGCACGTGCGCTGTAGTGCCGACCCGCACGACAGGGGGAAGGGTGAGGGAGGAGGAGGAGGAGGAGGAGGAGGAGGAGGTGGAGGCGGAGGTGGAGGAGGGAGGAGGGAAAAACGTCACATTCTATTCTCAGCACTTCCCTGGCGTGGCGTTTAGCTGTCCGCAGCAGATCCTCACCGACATGCTCCTTCTACCTGTCCTGTGCACGCAGGCACTCAGGTGTACACCAGCGCTGCGTTGCACGCGGATGCTGTGGTGTAGACAGGCGCAGTGGTGTGCACAGGCGCTGCGGTGCACGTAAGCATTGTGGTGTGGACAGGCGCTGTGTTACACATGCCTGCTGCGGTGTACACATTCGCTGTGGTGTACACCGGCGTTGTGGTGCACGCAAGCACTGGTGTACACAGGCGTTGCGTTGCACACGGCTGCTGCACACTGTGGTGTACACGGGCGCTGTGGGGCAGATCGCCACCTACTTGTTGCTCGCGTCGTCGTCGTCGTCGTCGCTCGTCGCTCGTCGCTCATCGTCATCGTGAGCGCGGGCGCGGCTGTGGTGCCGGAGCCGCACGGCCAGGGGGGGTGGACGTTACGTCATACCCCCCCCCCCCGCCCCGCCCCCCCTCCCCCCTATGACGCCCGTCATAGCCGGTGATGAAGGAACGCGCTCCAAACGCAGCAGCAGAAGCATCGATGGAGACAGGAGGGGCAGGAAGGGGGGGCGGAGACGCGGGGACGAGGAGGTGGGGGTACGGAATCATAGGATCAGAAGCCTCAGGATCAGGGGGGGAAGGAGGATCAATATGGAGCTGGAGACGAAGCAGGAATGGTGATATACATGGAGTGGGAGGATGGGAGTGAAGAAGGAGAGAGGAGAGGGAGACGAGAAGGATGCGATGTCGAGAAAAGGGTGGGTAGGGATCATAGGGTCGGAGAGGAGGGCTGGGTAGGGCATGGAGGACGAGGATGATGAGGAGCAGCAGGATGCGGCGGAGGAGGAGAAGCTCGATCGCATGCCACAGAAGGGAGAGAGAGAGAGAGAGGGAGACTGACGAGTCCAAAACCGTTCCCGCGCCCAAGGCTTCTATTGGCAAGGATGTGTGTTGTCACCACGGTGCGGCCATTCGAGGCAGCCCAACTCTGGGCCAGCGACGGGGCCCGGCAGGATGACCACCGCTCGCCCTCGCGAGGCAGAGCGTTCTGCTGCTCTCGGACTCGCAGTGTGGCTCCCGAGAATCCGTCGGAAGCAGGAGGGCGGGGAGGAGGGTGGAGTGGTGAGCGCGCAGGGGGGAGGGAATGAGGAGGGACGCCGCGGAGGAAGGGCAAGGGAGGGCGACGGAAGAAAGGGGAAGGGGGGGACGGTCAGTGATGGACGCGTGGAGTGCCAGAGGTGACAGGGACAGGGCAGGATGGAGAGTCGAAGGGAGAGAGGGGGCGGAGAGACAGGGCCTTGGCATCGCTCGCACGTGTGATTTTTTTCCCGGCGAGGGCAATCGAAGAGCACCTTGGATCATCTACACGCACGCAATCGAACAATGCACGGGGAATGAGCGTCCGAGCGATGGCGTGGGGCACGGTGGAGGATGGTGTGCGCGAGGGAGGGAGCAAGGGATCTTCTGCTGCTCAAGCTTCCAACAACTCGCAGTCGTGAGCCGGGGGAGCGCATGAGGAGGCGAAAGGGAGCGGCGGAGAAAGGGAAGGCGCGGAGGTGCGAGGAGCGCGAGGGGCGGGGTGGGTGGGGGGCAAGGACCAGGGCAGGGGAAATAGAGGGACCCACGGGCGGAAGGACGGTGTGGCGGATTGACGGAGGGGTTGACCATCCGAGGTTGTTGTTCCCAGAAACGCGGCGGCGACCCCAGCGCGGGCGTTCAAGGTTGAACGCAGCCAGTGATCCGGAGTTTGCCGACGTCGATCTAGCTTGCGCGATCGTGACGTCGCGATCGTTTTGGGTGAAAGGTCCACGCGGTAGTCAGCGCCCACGTCGTCGCGGCACGAACCGGTTGTAACACGTATATGGCCTCTTTACAAAGCATCCGAGCGTTTTGCCCCCGTCATTTGGCGGCACGCAGACGGGGGTAGGGGGAGGGGCAAGGCTTTTTAGAAGCACCCCTGCTCCTTAGGAGGCGCGGGCCTTGTCTGTAGATGTAGGGCCGGCGCCTTGTAAGAAGCGGCCGCCTTCTAAGAAGCTATCTCCCCTCCCCCTACCCCCTTTTGCGCGCCACCAAGTCACCCTCTTGGCAACCAGGCGTGATTGCCATCCTCTTGGACGAGCTGCTGTGGAAAGGCTATGGCCTCGGTTTCGACCTTAGCCCGTGGGCAGGATGCCTCTTCCCTGCAGCTCCGCTCCACTCTGCATATGGGCCTCGTCACTCGTCAACAATCTGTACCAACCCTCCCTTGGTTGGGTTCTCGTTTTGAATAGCAGTGGGGTCGCCAACTCCCTTCTCCTCGTTGCACCCCTCTCCCCCGCTCTTCTTTCGGCTTTCTCCTCACGCATCCCTCTTGAGGGCTGCGAAGTGTGAAAACGTCGCCACTTTCGAGGGTTACTGGGGGAGCCCGCACAGTGGGGCCCAACGCAGACCCAACAAATACCTCGCCATCCTTGGGGGGCTGTGAAATGTGAGAATGTCGCCACTTTGGGGGGCTGCTGGGGGAGCCCGCACAGTGGGGCCCCACGCAGACCCAAAACGGGACCTCGCCATCCCTGGTGGCTGCGACGTGTCAACTTGTCGCCACTTTCGAGGGTTGCTGGGGGAGCCCACACAGTGCGGCCTCGCCATCCCAAGTGGGCTGCGAAGTGTGAAACCGTCGCCACTTTCGAGGGCTGCTGGGGGAGCCCGCACGGTGGAGCCCCCCCGCCATCCCTGGGGGGCTGCGACGTGCGAAATTGTCTCTCTTTCGAGGGTTGCTGGGGGAGCCCGGACAGTGGGGCCTCACGCAAACGAGACACAAATCTCGCCATCCCTGGGACTCTGGGGAGCTGTGAAGTGTGAAACTGTCGCCGCTTTCGAGGTCTGCTGGGGGAGCCCGCACAGTGGGGCCCCACGCAGACCCAAAATTGACCTCGCCATCCCTGGGGCGGGCTGTGAAGTGTGAAACTGTCGCCGCTTTGGGGGACTGCTGGGAGAGTCCGCACAGTGGGGCCCCACGCAAACCCAAAAATGACCTCGCCATCCCTGGGGGGCTGTGAAGTGTGAAACTGTCGCCGCTTGTGGGGACTGCTGGGGGAGTCCGCACAGTGGGGCCCCACGCAGACCCAAAACGGGACCTCGCCATCCCTGGGGGGCTGTGAAGTGTGAAACTGTCGCCACTTTGGAGGGCTGCTGGGGGAGCCCGCACAGTTTGGCCCCACGCAGACCCAAAACGGGACCTCGCTATCCCTGGTGGGCTGCGACGTGTCAACTTGTCGTCACTTTCGATGGCTGCTGGGGGGGCCCGCACAGTGAGGCGCCACGCGGACCCAAACAAGATCTCGCCATCCTGAGGGGAGGGTCTGCGAAGTGTGAAACCGTCGCCACTTTCGAGGGCTGCTGGGGGGGCCAGGGTGTGAAGCTGTCGCCACTTTCGAGTCGGCCACGCACCACTCGCACGACATCGTAGACTGCCTTGCACCGTCTCTTGTAGTGTTTGCCGTCAAACCATTGCCGGTATACCTATACCATGCTTTGGTACAGATGGGTTGGGTACGGGGTAAGTCTGGTCTGTGTAGCAAGTCATGTTTGTTCTGTGCACCTCTCCTCATCTGCCACGTCTCTTGACTAGCATCGCTGACTCCACCTCATCGTCATCACCATCATCACCATCCACCAGCAGCATCATCATCTTCCTTCTCCTCCCCCTCCTCCCCCGTCTTCTTCCCTCTACTCCCTCTTCGAGCTCCTTCCCTGTATCTCGATTATCCGCATCCTCATCCTCTGGGGCTTAGGTAGGTGGCTGCCTGGCGGAAGTCCATGTCGAGAGCCGCTCACTGCACTGCAGCGCGCGAGCTAAACGGTGCATCGGAGACTTTGTGGGCCGCTTTTGCTTGGAACTTCGTTTCGCAGCAGAGGCGGAGCGACGGCAGAACGATGGAAAACGACAACACGAACACGAACCGCACTCTCTAGCTCGCGCCTTGCTGCCATGCTCCTGAGAGGTGTCCCTTTGTGGCAGCCAGGCAGATCGTCAGAGGGGTGTGCCATTGCCAGTGAGCCCGCTTGCTTGGAGATTGAGAACCGCTTGCGGGCGATAACATGTACCCCCCCTCAAGGGTCTCTATTTTTATCATCCCCGTTCAGCAGGATTTAATTGTGGAGAAGGGCGCGGAGGCCGAACTTTCTATTCCACGGGGGAAGTTGCTATCATCTCATTTTGACTGGCAACAGCATCGAAACCGCTGAGCATGGCCATGGTGATCTCACCACATCAGCTTCCGCAGTCACGAGCGTGTGGCAGGGTTGTGTGATTCTCACCAGTTCAGTTTGCCCAAGTTACGAACGTGCGGCAGGGCCATGGGATTATCTCGAGTCAGTCTTGTGCCGAGCGCCCAGGATCACCATCATCATGATCATCGTCATCATCATCATATCTTCACCCGTCCCAGGAAAATATTGTATAATCCCCGCCAGACCCCTGAACTTTTATCATCCCCCGGGTATTATCATCGCCCGCACCCAGGAAAATATTGACAAACATGGGAAGTGATGTAGTGATGTGTCCCTGGGCCCCTTGGATGATGATCGGGTTGAGCTACGACGAGGCAAGCCGCCCTAACGCACGCCAACTCAGCATGTGCAGCAGCACTAGAATCATACGGACTGGCAGGAGACGTGGCTGGATTGGTGGAATGTGTGATCAGGGGGAGCAGCAGAATGATGATGAGACGGAGCACTGGATGAGGTGGAGCAGGAGACGGAGCACCAGACATTAAGGCTCCAGCCGTAAGGCAAATCAAATGATGGTGAGGAGGCGAAGGCACGGAGCGTACCCAGTTGCGCTGCAGCGTGAATCCGCCACCGCGCTTGGGGGACGCCTGGCTGGGGGAGGGGCGTGCCAGGTAGTTCGGTACCCGTGGGTTTGACTCGGGCGCCTTTTGCGTCGCAGAGGCGCACACGTTTGCAGGAAACGCAATGAACGCATGGTGGGATCGATTCTTCCGTGGCCGAAGCCACTGCTCTGACACAATGGATACGAACAATCAGGGAGGACACAACACATACCAGCCGCTGCAAGCACGGCGGCAGATTCGACGAGCACTTGGTCCCCAGCCGCCAGCAAAGGGGCATTCGTACTGCTAACACGCCTTGGGAAGGGAGGCTCGTGCCACACCCGTCCCGAGGTTCCGGCATATCGCTTTTCATCGCGACCAACATATGCGAGATCATCGTGTGGAAGGCTCCAGGGCTTCTCACCCTCCTCGCCCTCAAGCTGCGTCCCTCCTATGTCGTCGTCGTGTCGTTCTGCCGTCGTTTTTCGTCTTCGTCGGTGCCTTCGTCGTCGCAGTCGGCGGTTACCTTTTTTCCTTTCCTGCCTGGACCTCGCGCCCCTCCGCGGGCGCGCGCGCGGCCAGCCTAGAATCCTGGAATCCTCGCCGCATCCCGCCTCGACGTCCTGGACTTCGTCCCCCTCCTCCCTCTCTCCCTCGCACACGAGACCGTCTCCAGGCTTCTATGACGCCCCGCCGACAGGCTACAGATCGCCCTCTCAGAGGGAAGTCTCTTTTACTGGCCGCTCGCATCCGAAGTTTGTTTGGTCTCGCAGCTCAGGGAGACGTTGGTGCTGACGGTTCTTTGCTCTTCTGTGTTGCTCCTCCCCGTCCCTCGTCCTCGGCCCATTCCCCCTCCCCGGATGCGGCGCGCGAGCGCAACGTCACGTCCAGGGAAGGATCCACGCGGGCGGGGCCGCCTCCGCCTCCTCAACTTCGCCCGAGCGCAACCGGGCGGGATGGGCCATGGTCGAGGTCGACGACCATCGGGCCCGACGAAGGGGGGGGGATAGGGAAAGGAGGGGGGGGGGTACGACATGAGTTGCACGCAGCTGGCTCCAGCCCCGCCGCTGGACGCTCTTCTCGATGCATTCTGTGCCTCTGGAGCCGTGGAGTGCTGGGAAAAGTCGTTGCACGAGCTGATGCTCCGACCCCCCACCCTTGCGTACGACACCTTCTTCTCGTCCGACCCGAGTCCCCCAGTGGTCCGTAGATGTGACCGGTGGCCTGTTCCGCCCAGGGTGAAGAGCAGATGTCCGTGTCTACATGCACATATTAATAGGCGTAGTCATATACAGATACACATGCACATACATCAGAGGTTGGGGGGTGTGAACGGAAGTGGCCCCCAACTGGGAGATCGGCTTCGGTTTCGGTTTGTGTCGTCCGTGCGGGCGAGGAGAAGCTGCGCGAGTTCCTGCAGGTGTAGAGGCCACATGGAGCCCAAAAGGTCGCCCCCCACCCCCCGCTCCCCCTCCCCCGCCGGGCGCGGCCCCCCCATGGTTGTCCCGCGGGTTGTCTTGATGGTTGTCCCGATGGTTGTCCCGATGGTTGTCCCGATGGTTGTCCCGATGGATGTCCCGATGGTTGGCCCCATGGTGGTCCCGATGGTTGTCCAGATGGTTGTCCAGGTGATTGGCCCCATGGTTGTCTCGATGGTTGTCCCGACGGTTGTCCCGATGGTTGTCCCGATGGTTGTTCCGATGGTTGTCCCGATGGCTGTCCCGATGGTTGTCCCGATGGTTGTTCCGATGGTGGTCCCGATGGTTGCCCCGATAGTTCTTCCGATGGTTGTCCCGATGGTTGTTCCGATGGTGGTCCCGATGGTTGCCCCGATGGTTGTCCCGGTGGTAGTCCCCATGGGTGTCCCGATGGGTGTCACGATGGTGGTCCCGATTGTTGTCCCGATAGTTGTTCCGATGGTTGTCCCGATGGTTGTCCCGATGGTTGTCCCGATGGTTGTCCCGATGGTTGTCCAGATGGGTGTCCCGATGGTTGTCCCGATGGTTGTCCCGATGGTTGTTCCGATGATTGTCCCGATGCTTGAACCTGATGGTGGTCCCGATGGTTGTCCCGATGGTTGTCCCGATATGTGACCCGATGGTTGTCCCGATGGTTGTCCCGATGGTTGTCCCGATGGTTGTTCCGATGGTTGCCCCGATGGCTGTCCCGATGGTTGTCCCGATGGTTGTCCCGGTGGTTGTCCCGATGGTTGTCCCGATGGTTGTCCCGATGGTTGTCCCGATGGCTGTCCCGATGGTTGTCCCGATGGTTGTTCCCATACTTGTTCTGATGGCTGTCCCGATGGCTGCCACGATTGGTGTCCCGACGGTTGTCCCGATGGTTGTCCCGACGCTTGATAGATATACCGGAGATAGGTGGTATTTATTTGCCGGGGCTCTCTTGGGTGGCGGCAAGTGTGGGTCATCGCAGATCGACCACCTCCCTCTCCCCCCCAACCTCCCTATCACCCGTAGGGTGGTCCTATCGGTCTACATATGCGTATCCAGATCCAAGGAGGCCCCCAAGATGCCTCCAAGAGGCTCCCAGGAAGCACTCAGGAGGCCCAAAGAGTGCCCCCAGAGGCTCCCGGGGTTCCCCGTCCTCCTCTTCCTCCTCCTCTTCTTCCTCCTCCTCCTCCTCCTTCTCCCCCTCCTCATCATCTCATCTTCCTCTCCTCCTCCTGCTCCTCCTCCTCCTCCTCCTCTCCTCCGCTCTCTGGTTTTCCTCCTCCACTTTTTTCTGATCTTCCCTGCCATCCTCCAAGTTTTCCCCGAAGGGTTTCCACAACGTTTGAGGGAACACATGGCCTGATAGCTTGGCAGAGCTCTTGCCACAACGTTTGGACACACGGGCGCTTTCAAACCTCTTGCTCCCCCACGCGTTCCCCGAAGGTTCTCCAAATCGTCTCGGGGAACAACTGGCCCTATAGTTTAGTCAAGCTCTAGCCCAGCTGTCGGCCACATAGGGGCTTCCGCAAGGGCAGGGGTTCCGCAGGCGTCTTCGAAATAAGTGGCCTTCGGCCCATCCCGCCACTGCGCCTGGGTTGTAGGTCAGAGGTCTTCTGGATGCCTGTGAGGGTCTCTTGGAAGGCCTTTCGGATACCACTTGAAGGTGGTTTTGGGGGTGTTGGGGGGCTTCTTGGAGCCTGATTTGGGCCTCTCGGGGCCTCTTGGGGGTCTCTTGTGGCATCTTGGACCCAGCCCTGGGGCTTCCAGGCGGATCTGGGGGCTATCATGGGGCAGAGGACACAACATTTCAGCTCGTGTTCCCCATCCCGGGCCCCTCTTTGGGTCGTCCTCGGGACTTGTTGGGCCCCTCTTGGGGGCATTTGGTCAGTTTTTGGGCAATATTGGGCGCCTCTTGGCCGTCTTGGATGCTCCATGCTTTTGGCTTCTCCAAACATGGCATAGAACCCAATGCAGAGAATCCGAAGGGACCTGAGCACACTCACACTCGTGCCTCAGGGCACTGTGGCGGATACGGAAACCGATATACATATATATATGTATATATACATACGCACATATATATATATAAATGTATATACACATATATTCATATACATGTATATATATATATATATATATATATATGGATATCTACAAGTGGAACGTGTGTGCCCAGGCTCTTACAAACAAAAAAACTGAAAAGGGCGTTTGAAGCAGGAAGACACCATGACGGCGGGATCGGAGATGGAGAAGGGTCAGCTGGGGCGGCGCCGCCAGTGCGTGCCTAAGAGAAGGGGAAGAGGCAGGAGGTGAACGCAGAAGAGTCGAAGATCGAGTAAGAGCCCCTCCCAAAGGATTGGGGATCGAGCAGGAGGGTCGACGAGGGCAATGCCTCTCCGAGGTCAGCGTTGCGAGGATGTCTCAGGCGAAAGTGGCCTGACCACCTCAGCTCAGTGCTTCTCGGAACCCAGAGTTGCGAGGATGTCTCAGGCGAAAGTGGCCTGAACACCTGAGTTCAGAGCATCTTGGAACCCAGAGTTGCGAGGATGTCCCCGGCGAGAATGGCCACACCACCACGGGATAGGGCAGATGTCTCAGGCGGAAGTGGCTGAACCGCCTCAGTTCAGGGCATCTCGGAACCCAGAGTTGCGTGGATGGCGAACGTGGCCTGACCTCCATGGGGCAGGACACCTCCGAGGTTTAGAGTTGCGAGGATGTCGCAGGCGAAGATGGCCAGACCACCATGGGGCAGGGCATCTCGGAATCCAGAGTCGCGGGGGTGAGGCGGGGTCTGGGGTACCAGAAGGTACGTCGGGGCTCGATCTTGGGAGGATGTCTCAGGCGAAACCGCCATTCTCTGAGAATCGGGGTCGAGCTCATTGATATGACAATGTGGTTTTGGCGATTTCATGTTAGAATGTTGAAATTCCCATGTGTTTTTTTGACACTGACGTCACGATCTGTGTAAAAGGGGTGCCGACGATTTTCAGAATTTCGGGGATGTCCCTAGCGAAACGGCCAGAACAATCGCGAACGACGCGGCGCGTACGCATTAACCTCCTCTGCTTACTCCCCCGGAGAGGTGCGTATATGAATGTGTATATATATGTATATATACAGGTACACACAAATCCGTTTGTATATTCACATCTACATGTGAACCTACATATCTATACATAATGCGTTTTCATATGCACAAACCCGTCGGTCGATGGAGGTTTCGGCATTTCCCAAAATCCCCATCAATGTCCGCAGCCGTTTTACTTTAAACGTCGAGCGGTTTTCCGTATCCCCTTTTTTCATGGGGCGGGCGAAACCCAACCTATATGAACATATCGTCTGACATGTTGGATACACTTACTATATATATATATACATATACATGTATATATATGTATATGTATACGATAGGTGTACAATCCATTTTTAAGTTGTATGCAGTTGTATATATATAGACATACATACATGTCTGCACATGTATACAGGGATGGTTTCATACACAGCAATATCGGTTGGTAGACAGTGGGGCCGATATGAGCACCGATGGTTGTATGTTGAGGCGCCCCCGGATGTTTCTTCTCCGCATCGTCGTCCTCGCCTTCCCCTTCCTACCGACCGTGTGGATGCTTCGGGTCTTCTGATACCACCAACAAGACACAGCAAGGCATGTTCCATGCGTTTGTTTCGGGAACAAGCCTTCGTGGATTGGCGGTACGTGTGCGGGATGCAGGTCACTAGAAAACACTCGACAGTATTATGGCGCTTCTATTGGGAAGAATGACAGGAGGCAGGCTGTGCTGGATAGAAGAAGATGGCACGATGAGGTGTTACGCCAACGAGCAGGACACCGCGCTTCACAACAGCGCGAAGGATCCGCAGGCTACGGTTGTACAGACATTGGGCGAAATATCCAGAGGACGGCGGCAGTGTCTTGGCAGCAGTTGTTGGCACGTCGACGT